AAAAAAAAAAAAACACCCAAAAAATCCCAAATAACTGAAATTCAACCAAAATAACGCACCATAACCTAATTGGTGCATTTAATAAAACCACACAGTTGGATTGAAACCAAGCTTAGTATACTTACCTAGATTGGAAACTAAAACTAGACGTGCTAAGGACATTTTAATTAATAAAAAAAAATAATGAAAACTAAATGAGATGATATTGTATACAAATTAACTGAAATAAAAATATACAGGAAATGTCTTTAGTTTTAGTCTTTGTCAACTTGGTCAAATTTGTCAACAAGCATGAGCATGCATTGGTGCATAATGTTTACTGAGACTGGGATGAGTCGATGTGTTTGTCTTGTAATACCTATTATGAACTGACAAATACCCCCCATATATTTGAATGGAAAAATGATACTGAAACTGATTAAAACTTTTAAACAATAAAAACTCAACTGAAATGAGCAAACCCACTCTGGAAAACTAAACTGAAGAATAAACAAAAATTAAGAATGAAATGAAAATATAAAATAATAAACAAAAGTGAAAGTAATGATGAGTTTCTGACGTTTGTTTTGGAAAAGTTAGTGAATATTACACAATCAGACCATTTATTGGAATCATGTTGGATGTTTTTTTTTATCGTAGATTCACCCTACAATCAAACAGCTTTACACAACTCTCTGTAATTAAATGTAGGACTGTTGCACAGCTCTTTCAGACTCAAGTACACACACATAATGCCACACAGATCAATACTACTCAAAAGATGACCAATTATTAAACCAACTTGCCTACCATTGCAGCTGAAAAAGCTTCTGCTTCCCGAATGCTTCGTCAAACAACTCAACTTGTGCACTAGACACTTGAAGGAACAACTGGGGAACGACAATGAACAATGACAATGAACAGGATGAGCCAGTTATGGGATGGCATGTCATGTTATTCTTAATAAAAAGTAAACAATGCAATGCAAGTGAAAGTACTCTTCTTCTGGGATTTTTTTATTTACTGAATTTATCAGTAACTTTAATATTTTACCAGAATTTGGCTAAAATTTTGCTAATTTTCCACCATTGTTGATTAATCTATTAGTATAGAAGTATTTGGAAGTTTTGATGGGCATTGTTATTTACAGACCAAAAAAGTAGTTAATTAATCTGATAATGAAAATAATAATTATTTGCCATAACACACACACACACACACACACACACTCTCACACTTGAAAATCTAAGCCTGTCTGCTCAGATGCTGCATATAAACGTCCAATCTGTGCCTCATACGTTCCCATAAAAGTCTCTGCTTGCTGGTGCGGGGCTCATCAACACACAACACACCAGTCCTTTGCAGAGTTTGACCAGGTGGACCCAAATACCAAAAGTCTCCCACACTGCATTCCAGAGAGCAAACGTGTACAGGGTCTTATCACAGTAAAGACCATCAGCCGCTGATCGATCATAGTTGGGCTGATAGACTGAGAAGACCCACACGTTACCTGCAGGGGCAGCATGGGATAAAAAACATTCAGCTGTAATCTATTGGAAGAAAATGTTCAGTATTTTTCTAATTAAAAGAACTAATCTTCTTCTAGAAATCATGATATGTTTCATCCTCACCTGCCAGCATCCATAGGAAGAGACACAGGCCTAATAAACACATCAGACACGCTTTGAAACCTTTGGGGTGCTCGCGTGGCTGAGCTGCATCGCTCTCACAGGGGAGGGTCACGAATGGTATCATCAGCAGGGGTAACAGAGCCATCCCTAACAGGTAGTTGGGAATGTTTGGTTGCTGAGGGCAGTCATTGAAATACACGACACCTGTGGGAATGGTTGTTGTGAGAAATGTGTGGTTACAAAACTGAGGGTTGTTGAAAGACAAGCATCGTGCTGAAGACAGAGGATACTGACCAAAGATGACTCGAGCCAGAGTTAGGACAGTCCATACTACTGTGACTGCAACTAGAGGGGTAAGATTGGATGAAATAGATTTTAATTGATAATGTGAGATTAATTTTGAGTCATGTAATAACTTTTTTTCATTAAAAAATAGCCAAGATTTAGACAGTTTTAAAGAGGCGGTGATTTACCTTTATAGAAATAGCTGGAGGCTGTTTTTGCTGGTGAATTATATTGTATTGAGAAATTTGAGCACCAAAAATAAAAAGGAGTCTTTATTACCTGATAGTCTTGGTGGTCTCGGTGGTGGGGGTTTCACTTGAAACCTCCATACGGCAGCCACAGTTATTGTCACAGGGCGATCTGTAGGTGGGGCTAGAGATCAAACAACATAAAGACTGGTATTATTCTCCCACAGTTTCTACTATATGATCACTGAAAGAACACATCTTTCATATTTAATGAACCCCTTTCAATACAAAACATCAGACTGATGAGTTCCCTTTGTTGTCAGAAAACATTAGCAGGAAGAGCAAACTGCACACAGGGACTAAATGAACTCACAGTTTCTGTATGTTCACCATGTTCATCATCTGAGTTCAGCCTGCTAGTATGCTAACATTTGCTTATTAACACTAGGTAAACTGTACAGCTAAGGCTGATGGGAATGTCATCAGTTGTGCAGGTGTTTAGTCATAAACCAAAAGGACAAAAGGTGAATTTGACCTGATGATGGCGCTGGATGAAAAATTAGGGGATCAAAGTGACTACAATAAATTGAACAAAATATGCCAATCCATCAAATAGACGTCCAGATATTTCAGGAAATGGCAAAAAACTGACATTTCCATCCCCAGAACCAGGCCACTAGCATGGCTAAAAACACCCATGGATTAGAATTTAGATTTAGGACGTGGTTTGGAATTTAAAAAAAATTAATTTATCTTTAAGTTAAATACATTAGTATGAGTAAAAAAGTTAGTAAAAATGGAAAGTAAAAGGGAAATAAGCACCTCATCTGATGCATGTCTAGGTGGTCCCACTGCAGGTATTAAACCACTATTATAAATATAATATTAACATGATCTTATAATTCAAAATAAATAATTATTGTTTTCATATGGTACTAAATCCAAAAGTGAAAGTAATGGCGAGTTTCTGACGACACTTTGTTTTTTACGTGTTTTAGAGAAGTTAGTGAATATTACACAATCAGATCATTTATTGGAATCATGTTGGATGTTTTGTTTTGTTATTTTGCATTATAGATTCACTCTACAATCAAACAGCTTTACACAACTCTCTGTAATTAAATGTAGGACTGTTGCACAGCTCTTTCAGACTCAAGTACACACACATAATGCCACACAGATCAATACTACTCAAAAGATGACCAATTATTAAACAAACTCACTGACTTTGACATTGCATTACTCCTTATTTAGACACCAGTGTATCATTCAAGTAATCGTATGTGTCGCTCAACTTTACCACAGATCGCCTGATACACCTGGCACAGGTTGCACTTACAGTTGCAGCATATTAAGTATATTTTTTATGGACTAAACAAGAACACACTTGCCTGCCATTGCAGCTGAAAAAGCTTCTGCTCCCGAATGCTTCGTCAAACAACTCAACTTGTGCACTAGACACTTAAAGGAACAATGGGGATTTCTACAAGCAGATGTTTTGATACTGTGGTCAACAATGAACAGGACGAGCCAGTTATGGGATGGCATGTCATGTCATTCTTAGTAAAAAGTAAACAATGCAATGCAAGTGAAAGTACTCTTCTTCTGGGATTTTTTTATTTACTGAATCTACTGAGTAGCATGAAACATGTAGGTATGAGAAAAGATGCGTCATCTTTTCAGATGATTGTTACAGCCCTTATTTCAGAATAAAAGCCCAGTACACACTACGGTAGAAGTTCTGCGCACAGCAAAACTACACATTGCAACCTCTCTATATTTCCCCAAAGCTCCCAGAAATAAGCCAGTCCTGCCCAGCGAGTTTGGGGTAATTTGATTACATTCTGTAAATTTAGTGTATTATATGTTAATTTGTGGTTATTTGTCTTTAGTAGTGAGAACCAGATGAGCATGAAATTTGACCAACTTCACAGGAAAGCAAAAAAGGCCATACTTTGTCATAACTTTGTTCATTAAATTCAATCTTCAATATTACAAATTCAAAAAGATGTGGATGACAATATACTCAATGAAGAATATTTTTTACATGTAACGATAGTTCAGTGTGTTCAGTGTAAGGTCTGTTGGTTTCTGATTAATAACTCTGGATTGGTTTAGAATTCACTGGTGCCCTTTTGTCAGTAGAAAGAGCTTGCATTTGATGTATATATACCTAATTTTCGCTCCAAATTTAACTTACGGCCCTCTGGTTATTGCCCCTTATGTGTGTCATTTAATCAAGTAAGTTAAGTGTTTTATTGAAGTGAGTTTAAGTCACTCCGTTATGTTGCAGTTTGCTGTATTATAAGACCAGTTAAGTTTTGCTGGGCTCTTTTAGGGCCCAATTTAGTAAATAATCACTTTTACTTTCTCCAGTTTTTTTTTATAAATAAAAGCCCACTTTTCTTTAAATCCAGATACCTGCAGGTTTGGTATCATTACAGAAACAGAACAGAAATCTTTAGACGGATACATACTAAAGCTTATATACAAGAGCTGATTGCTAATTAACCAAAGGAGGTGATGTTTCATCTCATATCTGTGATGCTTTAAATTAAGCACAAACACAAGCTTATTAATTTACACCTCGTTCTGTACCGGTTGGTTAAATTTTATATCTGTGCTTGACAGAGCTTTTATTAAGCCATACTGTAGGCCAAGCCCTCTCTCTGTTTGTAGTGGGCCATAAATAGAACAAACACACTGATAGCATAATGAGCAGGTATCAAAGGGCGTCCAGTTGCATATAGAGCCCCCGGTACACACACACACACACACCCTGGCGCCCCCCTCCCGTCTGTGTTATATAGTTTGTTTAGGTTTAATGTTTCAACTGTTAGAGGAGTGTTTTTCAAAACTGAAGATTTTCAATATTATCTGAGGCACATGAGAAGACACACAGGTCTGAAATCAGATTACAAGCCGGCCACACCAATACTTGGCCTTTGCTCTCCCCCTCCTCCTCTCCTTCCTGCTCGAACTGTCACTGGCTGTGTTTGACTTTCAGTGTGAAAGGGGTTAGCTTCTCATACGCCTCCCTTTTTTTTGTTTCGCCCATACCGACTTCCTTCTACCTTAAAGAGAGGAAATCACACTCGTAGTGAGAGGAGGAAAGGAGAAGGAGCAGCAAATTAGATTAAAAAACAAAAAAACAAAAAAACAAAACCAAACATGTGTTGTATGGGGAAATGTGCCCGCCTGGTGGGCTTGATCCTGTTGCCCACAGCGTTCATCTGCATGATCGCCAACCTGCTGCTGTTCTTCCCCGACGGGAAGAGTCTGGAGAATGATCAGATCTCCCTCCAGGTCTGGCTCATGGGGGGACTCATCGGAGGAGGCCTCTTTGTGAGTAAAGCGTTATGATCTGTATTTGATGTTTTATTGTTTGTTTTATTGGATTTTTCAGTCATTAACTCAGCTCTGTGTAAATCTGTAAAATCTCATTGTTTGTTTGAGTTTTATTGAGTATGATTGATTGACAAGACTTTTTTTAGAAGTGTATTTTGTCCAGTAATTATATATATAAAGGAGTCCAGACTGACAAAACTTTAACTAAAATTCTATTCATAAACTGTTGAAACATAAAAAATATTTCATGTTGAATTACAGGGAAACATGAGTGAATGAATATGATGTCAGGTATCTACAAAATATAATATTGAAGTCAGCATTAGATTTTTCTTTAACAATCATTGAAATGAGCAGTATAAAGTACAATCTTAAGGTACTTCTACTTATACTTATTAGTATTTCCATTTGATGCTACTTTATACTTACGATGAACTACAATTTGTCAGCTATACTCTACAAATTAAGATTTTACATACAAAATGATGAACTTACAGAATGATGTATTGTTAAAGATTAAATCCCCAAACATATACATAAATAAGTTCAATGTCAACCCACTTCCACGATTGAAATGCAACTTACACCTTAATACAATGTAAAAACTACTACTATTACACTATTATATACATTACTTATGTTACATACATAACACTAATTTTCCAGACATTTTTCAGCATTGAGTACTTTGACTTCTGATACTTTTGGTACATTTTGCTGAAAATACTTTTTATCACAACAGATTTTACTTATATTACCTCCACCGCTGTATGTGTGACAGTGTGAAAAACATGTTTTAGTATAAAGAACTTGGAGGGAAACTTTGACCGTTAAGAGATTAAAACACTGTTTGATCCTCCCTACTGACGTCTCCACTGAAATTATCATGATATTTTAAAGGTTGACAGGACCATAAATAATTCATAAAAATATAAACTCATAAATCGCAGACCTTTGAATCTTGACAGACATGTCTTAATCATCGTGATATTAGTTTGGAACAGTGACCAGGAAGTTTGAATTATTTCCTTTTCCTATGTGGATGTCATTGCCTCATGGAACAAGACAACTCGATTCAGGATTCACCAATATTTGGTTTAGGAGATAAGAGAACACACACAGGCACACACATAAATGCAAATGTCTAGAAGGGCAATGTGTGTACATTTATGTGCACACACACACCTGTATATTAAATGTGAGAGATAACATATTAACTCTGGCTCACATTTAAAATAACTTGGAGTAAGACATCACATGCGCTATGTCTTGCTTGATGAATAAATAAAAAAGGAAACTGTTTCCAACTTTTCAGATGCTGTGCCCGAGCTGCTCAGCTATCAGGGCCGGGGGCAAGGGTTGCTGTGGAACAGGTTGCTGTGGCAACCGTTGCCGGGTGAGTAAAGTGAGATTTACATGTCAGTGTAGGGACTGCACTGGTAATGATGGGTGGTAAAAGGCAAAGGTGCCGGGCGATTTCATACCAAAAATGGAAGGACAAACTAGACTAATGTGTATGTCATCAGCATTACACCAAAGATGGACAGTACTATTACTTTATTTATATTAACTGCACTGTAAATTACTATTTAAAGTAATTTTTGTTTAATATACTTTAGCTATGAATATCCTCCATAGCGGCGCCAATAGTTTTCATTTCTCTTTAATTATCAGGAACTAGACTGCTAATTGGCTAGTTGTGGCAGGTCAGCAAAGAAAAGCAGTCTAATCTGCCTTTAATGTGTGTATTTTATTTTGTAATTTTGTAGTTTGATATAAGTTTAAACTCTATTTAATATTCAAATTTTTAATGAAATTGATTTTATATTCATTTTTGTTGAGTGTCAATCTTCCACCTCAACCTTGAAAATCTTAACTCCATCCATTGAGTCTTCGTCCATGGATGGACTCTGCTCTCTTGACACGGAGATAGCACAATATCTATCTGAGCTATCTCTGTGTTAACTGAGCAATCTGCTGAGGAAAACCATCAAATTTGGTTGAAAGCCCTAAAAAAAACTAGATAGTGGACCTTGGGCTAAGAATTTTAAGTTCTCATTAAGTAAATTTTAAAAAACAATTTGCAAAAAAGGACACCCTGAGGAGGAATTCCACTTTTAGGCTTTATAGATTATACTAATAGATAACGACAGGGGGCGGATCTAGAGGGGTGAAAATATTCCTGTCCACCCCAGTTTGGTGTCCTATTTAATACATTTATTTAGATTGATTAAAAAAAGCCACCTGTAGATATTGCTTTTCAGTGCTTTACTAATGTGATCACTTACAAGATGTTCATTTGTTTTGTTTTTTCCAAGCGAATATTGATATATGCGATGGTTTGCAATTGAATTAGCATTAATCAATCCTCCTATCTTTCATTCAGATGCTGAACTCCGTGTTCTCGTCTGCTTTTGGCCTGGTTGGAGCGATCTACTGCACCAGTGTGGCCTCAGCCGGTCTGGCTATTGGACCCAAGTGTTTGGTGAACGGTGAATGGGAATACCCCTTTGAAAACCTCGGCACGTGAGTGTTTCTCACACAATATGCTTTTTCTGACCATGTAGGTGATGCTGTAGAATATCTCCAGTGTCTAATAGTGCCTTACAAGTATTTATCATCCTCATATTGCAAGCCCTTCCTCATTCCTTTCCTGTGTATCACTTCTCTGTTATCTCTATCAGCCATACTTTCATTGTCTTTGTTAAAGCTGCAGAATAGTTTCAGTTCTTGAGTATAAAATATAAAATAATTGCAATATTTGTAATAATCCAGTAGGTGGCAGACTGGACCAGCACTCTCTGTCTTGTGTTCAGTTGCTCTAGTCTAGTCTACTGTACTTTGGCTTCTTGCTGGACCCCAAACCATATGAGTTAAAATAAAGCCAAAGTGCTTATGCTCCGTTGAGAACATGACTGGCACTATGGAAACATTTTACAAGCTTAGGCAGGTAAAAGTGAATCACCTGATAGAGGTCCATCAGGCGACTGGGGCAGTTGTTAATAAATATGAGCATGTTGTTAATATGTAGATTACGATGACAGCAGTTTAAAGGGCACCAGTGTTCACAGGGAGGGAACCAAGTTTGATTACACAATGGATGTTGGGATATTAATATTCAACCTCAGATTGACCTTCCTCCAGCAAACCTCAATTTCCCTTTTTTTTTGTTTTTCTATGAAGGGTTCTGATATCCTGTTTAATGCCTATTCTACTGCACACAGTGAACAGACTTTAGTCCTAATATGTCCAATAGTGCCGAAACGATCAGTTGATTAACAGATTTGTCAATCTGCAGAACGTTTGTTTCCAACAATACAATTTTTTATATCCTTACTAGTTGAATATCTTTCAGTTTTGGACTGCAATCTACTGTCTTTCTGTAATGTAAGTGAAGAAATGGGGAAGAAGGGCTTCATGTTTTCTGCTGTAATCTGCAATAGGACTTTGAAATGAGGAAACTGATATCTCTGGGAGACTATTGTGAACTATGTAGTAACTCTATGACTCCTTTATTTTAGTCTTTAGTGTTTTTAGTTTATCTTTCAAACTTCCAGGTCTCCCTTGCAAAAGAGGTTTCAACTTCAGTTGGACTTACCTGTTTGAATAAAATTAAAGACAACATTATGAATCAATTAATCAAATAAATAATGGAAATATTAACTGATAATGGAAAATCATTTGAAGCCGTAATCTCCAGCACATAAAGAGTCGTATCAGTGTTCGTCCCTGTCTTGTCTTTTAAAATATTCACATGGCTAAACAATTTCACCACAAGGTCCATTTATCAGCGGTTTGGGAGCTTTTGATTGTATCACATGATCTTCAGCAGTCAATAGGGTTTGCCCAGTTGATGTAAATTTAAATGTTTCAGGACTTCTCAGTAACAATGATTTGTTTTAAAGGAATAGTTTAACATTTTGGCACATATGCTTATCGACTTTCTTGTAGAGAGTGAGATGGGAAAATGGATACCACACTCATACTGTATGGTAAATAAAGCCACAGCTAGCAGCCAGTTAGCTAAGCTTAGCACAAAGACTGGAAACAGGGGCAAAAAGATGGCCTGACTGTCCAAAATGTAGCCTATACTTGTTACACTGTTTTTTGTACAGATGAAACAGATAACGTGTTACATAGTAATCTGGTAGGCAGATACCTTTGGACAGAGTCAGGCTAACTGCTTCTGTGCTAAGCTAAGCTAAATGGCTTCTGGTACTACAAAAATCATTATGTGAGTGGTATCAACCCTCTTATCCAACTCTTGGCAAGGAAGTTAGAAAGTGTATTTCCCAAAAGGTCAACCCATTCCTTTAATTTTCCACTATTAATCATTTCGTTAAATGTCACTTTTCTCCAACAAAAAGCTCCTCTCTCAGTTCTTCTCCTCTCTACTTTCCATGTGCTTTCTTTCTCCACTTCTCACTTGTTCCATTCACCGTCTTACTGACACATTTTTCCTCAACTCAGTCATCACACTTTTTCTTCCTGCACCCAAACTTGGCCCTCTATACAGATATTTTCATTAATGCAGTGTGTGTATTTTGGACATTGCTAATGGTCTACTGCTGTTCTCCCTTGCAGAGGTAATAGCAGCTACCTTGTAAACCAGACTCTGTGGACAGTCTGCGAGTACCCTAAGAACATTGTGATGTGGCACGTCGTCCTCTTCTCCATACTGCTGACCATGGGTGTGGTTCAGCTGGTGCTCTGTGGCATCCAGGTGGTCAACGGATGCTTGGGATGTCTCTGCGGGGACTGTCGCGACAGCAAAGATGTAGGTGAACAAATCCTGAAAATCATTTAAGTAAACCGAGTTAGGAGTTATGCAAATCTTTAAAATGACACAATGAGTTGTGGACAGTATTTCTGAGCGGGGGGGGTCATTAAAGCTACACATAGGATCTAGAGTGGCAATAAAAGGGGGAAGCAATAAAATCTTAAACAATTTTATCAAACTGGACAAACAGAATGTTCTGTACTAACTGGTTTGGTTACTGGGAGAGAGCCAACTATTCTTAGATGCTTTGGGAATGACTCGGCCTTATTGCAGTTTCCTAGTATTGCTTTAGTGCTGTTTTGATTGCAATTGTGGATTGCTATGAGGTCTGCTACTGGTGGAGGAAACAGGAAAGGGAAAAAGTTTTGTAGTTTTGATCCTGTGTTGATAATATGGGTGCAAGGAAGCAGGTAGATTGGCTGGGAGTTGCGCCAGTAAACAGGAAAATTGATCTCCACTCATTTAAAGGAATAGTTTGACATTGGGACATTGTGTCATCTTTAAACTTTTGTATGGATTAACCAGTCAGCTTTAGAGGTGTTGGTCAGTGGATTTTGTTACCTTTGGACGGAGCCAGGTTAGCTGTTTCCCCTTGTTTCCAGTATTTGTGCTTATCTAAGCTAACTGGCTTTGCTTATGCGTTATTTCCCAAAATGTTTAACTTCCTTTTAAAGGAATACAATATAATTTTAAATCTCTCTTTACAAAGCCAGGTTAACTTTTCCTCTATATTCCCCGATATTATCAGCCAATATTTGCTGATACTCTTTAATTTCTTGGTTCATTTCTAGAGTTGGTTGACAATATAGCGTATATGTTACGTTGAAGATTTTACTTTCGTAAGATTTAAGATCTTAGGATTTAACTTTATTCTTAAATAAAGTTATTTGTTTAAGAAAGCACCCTTCTGAGTACCTTTGCAGTCAAAATCGGTCTATTTTAATTTCAGTTCAAAAACTCACTGAATCTGCTGCCATATCAGTAATTGGTGAATTTTCGGTCGGGCTCTAGCCATCATATCTTACAACTTTCTTAAACAATGTCCTACTTCTTTTTATTCAGATGTGTTTAAGGTTCACTGAAAATAAATAATAAACCACACTATATGATGACTCCAATAATGTACAATAAATAAACTGCCAACTTGGAAAACTGAAGACAAGACATTTATCATTTTGCACTTTTGAACAGAAATATCCACACAGGTTGAAGATTAAGCTCAGATTTCACACATGATTGAACATATATTGAGGACTGCTAAAATAAGTTTTTTGCTGACGTGCATGTGGACACATTTCATATGCACACTAATAAGTGATATAAGTTGATTTGAAGGACAGGATTTACACATCGTTGTATCCAAAGAATAATTCATCATTGTACTACATTTCTCAGGAAATAGACTTATAGAATAGATCTTTGTGTACTGTGTCAACAAATGTCTACACATTAACATGATGTTCACATATATTAACAGCTCTGTCAGTCATCTGAGAGCTTGCTTCCTGTCCCAAACATGAAATAAACATGTGACTTCTGTCCTGTTGCAGGATGACGGCGGATTGTGAAAGTGAAGAAGATTGCCCGGTTGTGACTTCAGGTCGGGAGGCAGTTTTTGTTTCACAAAGTCCATATTCAGGGATTCCTTTCTGTGAAACATGTTGAGATTTTATTTTGATACCTAATGCTTTTGTTCAGTTGGCTTTTTTAAAATCCAAATCTCCATTATTGTATGAATTTTACTCTAGCTGAGGGTTTGTGTGTATTGACTGACTTATTTTTGGTTGAATTCTTCATTAAAATCAAGTCATTTCCATAATGAACTCCAAATGGTATGACATACAAGGATCAAGGCGTAATTGTAAATAATTACATGTGTTTGTTTTATGTACCTCTACATCAGGTGAATGTGACAACACAACAAGAGATCATGACCGATTATGTACTATTTAGCCATGTTTAATGATTGGATTTGTGCATAATTTGTGAAGTCAGAGAAGTTATATCAGTTCTGTGCAACATTAAAAACTTGTTTTCTTGATCATTTTTTATGTGAACTTTGCCCGCATTGATATTTACGGAAACCCTGTGCACTCTGTAACTCCAGTTGTGGATGTTCTCTAGTCAATTACTCACCTCATGCTGTGCCCATGCAGCCAGACAGCCAGATCTAACAGGATTATTGTGCGTAGAGACAAGGTCAGAGGTCAGAATGCCCCCTGTGGACACAGTGGACACTGCAGCTGCATAAACAGTTCAAGATCTGGACCAGCAGCGCCTGTTAGGTGCAGGTTAAGCTCATAATCTTTTGTTGCCATGGAGCTTCTTCGTGGTAATTGTTACCTAACTTTAAAGTTAAAAGCCTGTTGCAGAGCTGCACCCAGGTAAATATAGACACACAAAGTCTCTTGAGAGAGACCAAATAACCCAAAGCTGTTGCTCAAAGCTAAAGCCAAAGTCACTGCCACTACAGGTGAATACATTGACTCATTGCATCATAAATAATGTCTTTTGTGATGTTTTTTGTGTTTAAACACCTTTTCAGTAACTTACACATTTTAGAAAAGTGTTTCTTTTTTCAAACTGTTCACATACTTCCAGGACAGGGAGGGGAAATTATGTTGGTGTGGAAATAATGCCTGTGCACAACACCGTGACCATCTAAGCTAACTCACTGGCCTGTGTTATGCAGCTCTCTTATATAATGCACAGCACAAAGCGAGGAAGGAGCATAAGTGAGAAGAATTTGGAATAAAAGAATGGTTGGACAAAGGGAGGAAAACGGGAAAGGGGCCCAGTCTCAGCCACTTCTCATGCAAATCGTAGCCCCTCTGAAAGAAACTAGAGAGGCAAAGAAAGTGTAATTTAATGACATGGCGGACAAACACTGGTGTAAGTGCGTGCATGCGATGAGGGACCCTTGAACAACAGAGAGAGCTTCCTTCAAAAATACAAAAAAGAGGAGGAACAAGAGAAAATAACAACAAAAAGCAGTCATTAGAGCACAAAATTCTTCTGTCATATCTGCCTTGTGCACTCGGTTAGACCCAGTGGTGAGGCCATTATTTTGAAATGTGCCCATTTCCCAAAATTGAGCCCCTCTTCTCTCTGATTGATGTTTTTCAGGCTTGACTGACATAACAAAGAGAAAAACAGGGTGACATGGAGCAGCCAGTATGGACCAGACCAGCTCAAACTGAATTTGGACAGAGCAGGACAATGGTAGAAAATGAAATCTGCTGATGATAAAAGCTTTTAATTGAACAAGGCCATCCCTGTTCTCACTTTTCCCGTCTGTTCCTTGAAATCTACTCAGTACACCCACAACTGTGGCTTCAATTTAAAAGCAACAGTCATGCTGAAACTGGTGGCACAAACTGTGACACACGTAAGTGATAGCTCAGCGGTGTCCACCACCCAATAATTATGTCAACCACGTAATGAATGATCCAAGCCCAGCCACAAAGTAGACAGTCAGGTACACTCAGCAGGTCTGCAAGCAATTTTATTTACAACTCTTTCATGAGTTGTACAAATTATTTTTTAAACTAATTTTCCAATTATGTAATTGTACTTTTACACCTCTCTGGTAAAAGCATCTTGGTGTTGTTTTTGAATGTGCTCTATAGATAAATGGACTTGATTTAACTGCTCAGCACACTGCACTGATATTCAGCCAAATTAAAATGACATTTTATAGTAGGATCACACAAAAAAAGCCAAAAAAGTATGTAGCCAAAGCTTCTTTGTCAGGTCTAATAGCAATTTCTGCTAAGGTAACAATTGCTTAAAGATGCTGACAGCACCCGTGTTACTGGCACTATAATATCATACAACCCTGAAACATGATATTTTACACTTGGACCACACATTAGCAACAAGACATCGCGTCACTTGTGTCCGTCATTCCTTAACAGCAACCAAGAGCAAGACAAACTGCTGAACTGCAAGCTGCTGTTCACTAGCTTTGCTCTGCATGGGGCTGGGAGGTTTAAGTCCAGTTGGTTAAATGAAGTCACGCACAAAGAAGGCACCCTCAAAATCTGCCCTACAAAGGCAAGAGGCTGAAACTAAATATTTGGTTAAAATTTTGTTTTTTTAATTGGCCAGTTAAAGCAGGTAGACTATAACTTTAGCTAGCTGATGTGATCGACACAGATATCTTTAGGTAAAGCTAAAACAAAATGTATTGCATGAATGATCTTGGTAATTCCATACAACTAAATGAGCCAGCAGCTAAATCCAATCACGATGGAGACAAAATCCTTCTGCTGTGAAGGTCTGTTTTTCCAAAAAGTACGCTCTTCCTGGAGTTATTTGCCTGTAGTATAATGTGTAATGTTGTGTATTTGGACATACAGGAAAGGAAGGAATTCAAGTGACATTTGTCGTCATAGTCAGGTGACCTTAATCGTCATGGTAACAATAATAAACTACAGATGATTGACACTGTATAATGGCTTGATTAGGTTTCAACATCAAAACTACTTGAGTTTAGGAAAAAATATCATCTTTATATCCATATAATCCATATGACATCTTGGTAATAGTTTTTCCAAATAAGGCAGCAGTTAAATTTACGCTCATGGTAACTATTTTAGCGTTAGCAGATCTCTCCTGACTGCTCAACTTTTCCCTCTACTAGAGTTCATAGAGTTCATATGCTTTAGTGGAGTTAAGCTACTTTTAATTTACATGTAAGAAGTTGTAAATTAACGTCTTAATGAATTCATTATATTGATTTATTGATATTGATTTGTAGACAGACAAAAAGACACCTAGAAAAACAGAATAATCTGACACATGAACTGTAAATAATCAAAATAAAGATTATTATCCTAAACAAACCTATCTATTTGTCTGCTCTTCATCCTCAGATTGTCTATTTACTACACCCAGGATTATCAACTGATTTGCATGGTATGTAGGATACAATTGTGATTAGACCCCTTCCTCTGGGCACTTCAGGATTAATGTGATCACTGAAAACAATAAAAGTGTCAGGATTTCTCTTGATGAACTGAAAACAGTTCATGGTAAAGTAGCATGAGATAAGTGACATACTATACAGAGGAGGGGGTTGCGGGGAGGGGTGGGGAGCAGGCTGAGGACAGTAAAAGATTGTCACAGAGGCTGAAACTGGCCATGAGCGACCTCAGCCAGTTAGTCCCGGTCTTGGCTCCACAGAAGCATGCCAACATCAACAAAAAAATCAACAGACTCTGGGTGTGGGAATGTCTGGACGTCTGAGGGAGGAGGGAGGGAACAGGCAGATGAGGTGGGGAACAGTAAACACTCACACAGTGGACTCAACTGGTTTGATCCTGCAATGACTTAAATTTTGTTTGTTTATATAGTATTTTAATAAAAATAAATGTATCTGATTTTAACGCCTTATTTTGAAATATTTTTGATATTAGGCCTGAAGAGTAACTTAGTGGCTGGAGAGACATGTTAACATCTGTCCTGCTTATTTCTTTTCAGCAAGCATTTAAAAAAACATTTTTAAAATCACTGCAGGGTCAAGAAGCTATTAATAAATTTGTTTCGGAGGCTAATTATATCAAATTAGCCTGTATTTAGATGTCATTAGATGGGTGTGACTACTCACACAGACTGTAGTTTCCACACCTCATAAACTCGTGCACACTGTACTAATAAACCTCCTTTTTCTGATGCAGTTTAAGGTTGTGAACTTCTGAAAGGTCTTTAAATTATTCATAAGTGAGGAAAGAAGAAAATAAAACATTGTTGCCACACAAATGTTGATCTTTTCTTCCTCTTTTCACCTCTTTGGCTCTCTAAAATGTATTCAGATGGGTCACAAGTATTGCTTGACTACAGAGTCACATGTCAAAAGAGATAGGAAACTAACAATATATCCAGGCCTGAATGGTGAAACCAGATTCCAAGTTACTTTTTATGAAACATTAGTGTAAATGGCTGCTTTTATATAAAAATTTGCCACCTATTCACACACTTTGGGGCACTTTGCTTAATAGAGAATAAATCCAAATCCAATAGAGAATATAGAAATAAGAGCCATTTAACAAATACGTACTTTTATTAGCTTTTTTCTTTGTGCTTCTTCTGACGATTTCAACCCTTTTTCTTAACATGCAACAGCATTTCTTTGGTTCATCTCTTTTAAACTTAATTACTTATGTTACGTACAATTTTGAGGTTTGAAAAAACTTCCATTTTAGACTTTATTAATTTTTTTATTAACTCTTTAGTCCTAACACAACTTTTTCCCCAAAAGATACACACCCATTTTAACTACTGATTGATACATGAGGAGCAATTACGTGTTACATTTACATAATGTTTCAGTGCTAGTATTTTTAGATTATGGATGGGCTGCGTTTGACCCTCTCCTGCCCCTTGTTCATTCTGTCTTTGTCATTGCTGCACGTTCACAGCGCTGCTATTCCTGTCCCTCGGCCAGTGGAGCAGTGGCACTGGGGGATCCAACTACCAGGGGGGTGAAAAATTCACAGGGGATGATGTCAGTATTATGACAATGTCGCTTTCCACCTGCCACCCAGTTTGTCCCCCAGCTGAAAGTGTCTGATATCACAGTGGCACTTGAGGCCAATGGGAAAGTGGGAGTGGATCAGTTCCTGATATCTGAGCCTCCCAGGAAGCTAATAATCGTATTCGAGCCACTGGCAGACTGGCAGGGACTCTTGTCACCTTACAAGGAGAGGAACAAGTGTCTGAATGCACAGAGGTGACACCGCAGAGGCACCACTTGACTCTCTGTGGAGGCCAGACGATTACCTCAGTAAGAGTTTGGAATCTGTTGCACAAAAACGAAAAGGACTGTTGCTTAATATGCTTTCATAATTCACAAGTTTATGTTTATAAAATGAGCTTCGAGGAAGTTTAAAGTCCTATTGTATTTCTTGTTCCTACAGTTGGATGTTTGAGCTTCACTGTGCAGAATTATGTCTGTGCAGAGTTTGA